CATTAAAATAAAAGATGGCCTAAAACATGTTAGCATTAGATCATCTACCATAAGGTGGCTATAAGCTTCTGTGGCTGGATTTACTCAACAACAAAACACATGAAAGGACCAGAAATGATCAAAAATCCACATTGTTTTGTTGGAAATACTACTAACTTTTCCAGACTTGTAACCTCAAAAAGAAGAGTCTCCATAGTTAAGGAAAGCTTGGCCTCAAGATGTGCTCTCAGTGGGTCTGGTTTAGATGACCGAGCCATGAGGCTAGGTGCGTTCTCTCTGTCATTCATCAGTCTCTCATACCTTCCAGTTACTCATGTAAACTCAGACAGAATGTTAAAGACAGTCTGTTTTGCAGCAACCTGGTCCTAGTCTACAAAACATTTAGCTTGAGGACTAGACTGGGATTCCTTGGCCATGTTTTCTGGCTCTGCTTGGAAAACCATTCAAGAAACCTGCCCGTCCCCATGTGGCTGCCTTGGACTTTTCACGGGCAAAGACGTGGAAGGTAGCAGTCTCACTGTCATGAACCGCGGACAGATGGACCCAGTATTCAAGGAGAGTCAGCCAGTAGGAAAGTTCAAAACGTTTATTAAATAAAGAAAACTAAAGTGGAGCTGAGGCTCGCGGACACTGCAGGATGGGGAGCGGGGCACCGCCCAATCACAGACACTCTGCAGGAGAAACACAGGTAAGTGACCAAGGTCATCTGACAGAAGATGTTTATCTGAGTTGGTCACTTACCTGGTTTAACAGTCCGGTCCAAGAATGTCCCCAAAGCTGCAGTTCCAGAGGTCTTGCAGGAAGCCGATCCTGGTCAGGGATTCAGAACAGACAGGAACAGGATCCAGATCAGGTTGGAACAGACAGGTGGCAGGATCCAAGCTTCCATGCATCAAAGAACTCCCAGGCGGGTTCAGAGTCTGACTTGGACTGGAAGCATGACCAGGTGGTCACGCACAGGAGCAGACAGGATCAGGTGCAGACAGGCAGGCACAGTGGAAGAGGGTAGCCGAGACGAGACGTGGAACCAGAACTTGATGCAGGACTTTAAACTGGTCTCCTCCCTGGAGCCAGGCTTACTGGAATAAAAGCTGAACCTCCCCACATAATGAGCCAAAAACCCAGAGGACTCCGTGGGGGAGGAACAGTGAACGATCAGGAGACGAGACAAACACTAAAACCCTCTTTCCACTGGCTGCTAGGATCCAGGACATGAACCAAGGAATAAAACTGAACAGACAGACTAACAGAAAACAAATAATGATCTGGCCCTGAATGCTCAGGGTTAACTGAATATAAACCAGAGGAAACAGGTGAGAGGAATAAATTATAATTGATTCAGGGAGGTAAAACAACAGGTGAAAGGAATGACTAATTAAGGGAGAGCAAACAGGCCAGATTATGACACTCACAGCCCGTCTCACAAGCACGGTGGGGGCTTGTGCTGCGTCCCTGGGAGTGATTTGCAGATAGGTTGGTGCTTCACCAATACTCCAAGTTAATATGATGGATTATGGCATAACACTGCCATCCTTTGAAAATACAAGGGGATGGTGACATTTTGTTTCTCTGTGGGAATAAGTTCAACAGAGCACAACGAGTCAATGTCAGCAATTGTGCATAAAACTATCACTATGCAGAGCTGAAAGGCAACATCTTTAAAAATGCATTTCTCATAAAGCAAGGTTCATTCTTTAGGTATAAATTCATCCAAGAAAACGAAAGATAGAGAGGTAGACATGTATTTATGACCCTGAAAATCTGTGGATCAGCACTTCACCATTATTTTTTAGGCTTCTTCTAGTCCTAAGGCCAGAACACACTGAATCAGATTTAGCATCCGATCCGACAGAAAAATCGCGTCGGACGAAGTCATGGCGTTAGCGCTGATTGAAAGTCAATGGGGATGATCACACTGACATGAGTTTCTGCAGGGGGCTGCTTAGCTCCGACTGAGATAGACCCTAGGTCTATAATTTTAAAGGTCTATAGGTCTAGGTCTATAATTAAGACCCTAGGTCTATCTTTGTCGGACTACGGAGCAATTCAGCAACAGTTTCATGGGTCTGACAGGAAGAGAGACACAGTTACAAAACACATCTGCTTTTGGGGAAAATACACAATAAAAGCTGTTAATTGCATGGGGAAAGAATCAGTTTTGGAGTCGCACAGAGCATAGGGCTTATATAAAAAGCGGGAAAAAATTATTTGAAAAAAATATAATAATTTACCCATGATAGGAGTTCAGGAGGACAGAAAATGGGTACAGTAATGGATCCCTTTAACCCCACAAAAAATAATAAATAAAAAATGAGTGACAAAAATCACAGTTTATCGATCTAATTGAAAAAGAAAACTTCAGAAGGACAGAAAATGGATAAAGTAGTGATCCTCTTTGAGCATCACAAAAAATAATGAGGGGCGGGCAGACAGAGCAGGGAAGCGCTGCGTATCTCTCTCACCTCTTTATGAAAAAAAAAAAAACATCCGACAAACTTCCCAGATCTCTCTCTGAGAATCACCTCTCTGCCCCAGTCAGCATTTAAACCGTCCCACAGCGTTTATTGCTGAGATTTTCTTTTAAGATGTAATTCTCATCTTTTCAATATAGGCATATGAACATTCTCTATCTGGTTTGAGATGCTGCAAAGCTCGTTAAGTGCGGCTTGGCTTTATAGCTGTGCTGTTTTTTTATTTATTATTATTTTTTTTTTATTTTAATAACTTTTCATAATATGTTAAAGTCAAATGTGGGAAATTGTTTTCATTTGTATAGCACAGGGATGGAAATGAAAAAAATGTGCTCAGATCTGCTCACCCTGCCTAGTCGGAGCTTCTCTAGAGCTTCACAGTCAGTGTGACATGGAAAAAAATCGGAAGG